AGGATGGGAACCATGCCAGTTAAAGTGGTGTCAGACCACATTGATTCTGCAGTGTGGTAGCAGCCAGAGGAAAGAAGGGTGGGAGCCAAATTTAAATTCAGCAAAAGTCTTGTGGCCAACATCCCAGGGACAGACAGGGTCCAGAAGAAAGGGGACCAAAAATATCAGAATATGGTCTCATCCAGAAGGGGAAAAGTCTCTGGAAGTATCAAGAATTTCCAGTTCTTTTTGGTTTGATTTTGACAGCATATTCCCAGGTTTGCATCCAAACTCTTTCTTGAAATGTTCTAAGTTTCCCTCACTCCCTCTTTCCTTGTGGTCTTCCATCTCCCTTTGTCATTGATCATGTGTTGCATCTAGATTCATGCAACATTTCAGAAATTGATTTTCATCAGTTTTCATGGGCCCTTCTTTATCATTCAAAGATATAGCCATGTTAGTCTGGATCAGTATGCAGAGGGTCCTTGTAGCACCTTTGAGACTAATGGTGGGTGCATCTCCATTGTAGAAATAGTGCAGTTTGACACCACTTTAAGTGCTGTAGCTCTATCCTATGGCATCCTGGGATTAGTAGTTTTACTAGGTCTTTAACCTTCTCTGCCAAAGAGTGCTGATGTTTCTATGGGTTGGAACTGTGGCAGTTAAAGTAGTGTCAAACTGCATTATTTCTACAGTGCAGATTCATTCTGAGAGAAAGAAGTTGGCATGAGAACCTTTCATAGACTCAAGTCGACTTCATCAGATCTGTCAGATGTTGATGTAGACTTAAGTCTACAAAGGCTTATGATACCAATATCTTTCTCTCAATTACTCTCAAAGGTGCTATAAGATCCCTTTGCTTTCTTTAATATCATTCAGGAGTGATAATGTGATTTAGAATTATTACACTAGTTAAACATTAACATTGTTTTGTTTTAGCACAAACATTCTTCTGTCTCTCACTTGCTCTCTGTTAAATTTATGTCCTGGAAACAATAGCTGCGTTTACTGGTGGTGGCCATCTTAGCTAGTTCTGAAATAATACAAGCAGATAGCTAAGCAGAGAGACATTTTAGAAAATAGTGAGTGAAATTAATCTGATCTGAGTATTAGGAATGAAGAGTCTTTAGTAATGTAGGAAATACTTCATGATAAAAAACCCCTGCAGAATATAGGCTAGGAGGCAATGCAGCTTGAAACCCTGCTTTTAGTCATATGTCACAATGCTGAACTAAATGGAGCATTATAAGTCACCTTCCCATGTTCTTAATCATTAATTACTCACATATTCTCAATAAAACTAGCAGTAAAAACAGAGAAACAGCAAGGATAATATTCAGATTCCAGTTTCCTTCCTTCCTTCCTTCCTTCCTTCCTTCCTTCCTTCCTTATTTATTTATTTCCAACCAAAGTAACATGTTTATTATTTCAGCCAAATAATGTTGTTGTTACGCAGCATTCAAGGAGATTTCATTCAGTTGGGATGGGTGTCCTACCCATCATTGAAAGGTCTGTGGTCATCATCTGCCTCATCTCTGAAGATGGTAGTAATTGGAGTAAAGCCCAGTAGAGATTTGATAAAAGAAAGTGGGGATGCTTCTATTGGAGAAGGCAAGCTTTCTCATTATATTGTTGGATTTGGACTTAATAGCAAAGCAGACATTGTTGTGTGGTCAGCTGTGAAAAGGGGGAGAGGAAAGAGGAAAAGGAGTCTGTTTTGGGCTACCAAGGGTAGGACCAGACCTAGGACCTTATCACATGGGGTCTAAAGCAGACCTAATCCAAAGGTTATCCATAGCTAATACATATTATTTCCCCGTGTTTACACATGACGTTATGCTGAAACTCGACAGAACCTGGAGCTAATCCGTATTGTTTCTCCATGTTTACACACGACGTTGCACCGAAACTCGACAGAACCCGGAGCTAATCCGTAACAAATTGAGATCTTTTGACATTCAGTTTTTCAGGGAAGTACAAGGGAGCTTTCGGAATCATTGTGCAATGGCCGCGTAGGCGAAATTCAGTTCATTTCAGTATAGAACTGAATTTATTCTTATTTCGGTTACTTTTCGCTTCGTGGCCAGCATGTGATAAGGTCCCTAATGATTTTAAGTTACAGAAGAATAGATTCTGGTTGAAGTTTAGAAGAAACTTCTTGATGGTAAGAGTGGCTTGGCAATGGAAGCAATTGCCAAGAGAGGTGGTGGTCTCCTTCTCTGGATGCCTTCAAAAGGAGGCAGGACAACTACCTGTTGGGGGATCCTTTATCTGGAGAACCTGCACAAGCAGGAGGTTGGACTAGGTGTCCTATGAGGGCCCCCTTCCAAGTCTATTATTCTATGATTCTGGGACTATGAAATCAAAACACAGCCAGAGTATCTAGCAGTTAGGTGCAAACAAAAAGGGCAAAGCTTGGGAGAAGAGGAAGTAGTAATCAGAGATGTTGACTTCTTGGATGTGGGAAGGGGGAAGATAAGAAGAGGATATGGATCATCCTAATTCTCCCCCCGAAGGACAAAAGCAATTTCATCACTTTGAAGCACATATTGAAATTTGAAATGGGGTCTATAAACAACATTGAATTCTGTTCAACTGGCCAGCCAGCCATGTAAATGAATTAGAGAACCTGTTCTAAATCATGAAAAAGTGCACTTAAATTCTAAATAAGGCTCTTAAATATTCCTTTCCTTTTCTTGGCCTGGAATAATTTGCCCTAAGGCTCCAGAAGGTGGTAAACAATGGCAACTAGTGGTTTCCATGTCAAAAGGGTGGTGAATTCTGGGTTTTACTTGGAAATTTAAAGGAGATACCCAAGACAGTGCAGTTATGATAGGGGATAAGATTCAGAACCTCAGAGTATTCCTGTAAAGTTCACACAATAACCTGGATCTCATTCAGTACCCCACTGATATGGAAGCCACCCTCTCCAATTAGCTTAACCTCTTTTGGAACAAACATAAATTATATTTAAGATACTTCTATATCACCTCCCAACCCATATGGACTATCAAAGCAATGTACAAATAAAAGTCAATAGGTTCTGATGGATCTCTCTTACTCTAAGGGCTCTGTTCCCAAAGTTTTATGTCTCACGGCTGCCATACATATGTGTGTGTATCTGTATTCTTTCATGTCACCTGTCAACATATGGCGAATCCATGAAATGAATAGCATTTTCATAGGCAAGGAATATTCAGAGGCATTTTGCCACTGCTTTCCTCTGAAATATAGCCTCCAGCATCTGATATTCCTTGGTGGTTCCCCATCAAAATTCTAATCAGGCCTGATCCTACTTAACTTCCAAGATAAGATAAGATCTGGTGCCTTCTGTGTATTTAGGTCTCTCTTCCAGATAAGTTGCTGTATGCCTTCAAGTTCATTTCTGACTTGGTAACCCTAAGACAAAGCTATTACAAAGTTTTCTTGGCAAGGTATGTTCAGAGGAGGTTTGTCTTTGCCTTCCTCTTAGGTTGAGTGAATATGACTTGCCCAAGATCACCCAGTCAGTTTCCATGGATGAGCAGAAATCTGAACCTTGGTCCTCAGAGTTGTAGTCCAATGCTCAAACCATTAAACTTCAGTGGCTCCTTCTGCCAGATATATGTCACTTTAATTTTTTCTATGAGGAGTCTGTTTCTGAAGCAGACATAGAAGGTTAGAATGTCACACCATCTCACTCTTTATCAGCATTTCCTAATCAAGTATAAAATTGAACTTAATGGCATTCTGATTTTCAGTGCAAAAGTATTTAGCATTTTTAACCATAGTGATGCAATCCTGTACTTGTACAAAATCATAACCAATGACATTTCTCAATTTTTAGTCGAAGGACTAGCTATGTTAGGCTCTGTTTTCCCCCAGTATCTTTCTTCTGCCTTGTTTGCTTACCACAGGAATCTACCAATTTTCAGAAATATAAACATGATGCCCTTTTAAATGTTATGGGTAGAAAAGGTAGTAGCCATGTCCTGAAAGTTAATATAGTATGAAATGCACAAGATTTTAATAAAATTATACAGTTCAAAGTTGCCTTAAATGTCATGTTGGCCAACTTCCTGTCAATGTAAGTAATACAGTGTTACATTCATTTAACCTCTTCTTTAAATGATCTAAAGAAAGAGAATGCAACACCTTTGGAGAGAGTCTTTTCTATTGTCAAACAGCTTATACTGTACTGTCAGGAAGCTTCTCCTAATGTTCTTCAGTTCCCAAAGTGAAATTGGCATATATGCAATTAAGTGTTCTCAAATAAAGCATTCAATTTATGAACACTTCCTGGAGATCATCACAGAATAATACAAAAAGTGTTGATTGTTGCACAGAATATTTCACAATTTAGTAAAAGCTGAAGAAGACAGAGGAGAGTGGCGGACTCTTCATTTTTGGAGAGTCTGCCCAGCTTTTTCAGCAGAGATTGAATACCCATCTTCTGTGAGTGTTTTAGTTGTCTCTTACTGTCTGGCAGTGGGTTGGATTAGATGGGTCTTGTTGTTGGTGAGATTTCTGAGAGGAATTGAATAAGGCAGTTGCATGACAGTTGGTGAGTAGTAGTCGGGAGGAATGAAGAGAGTATTTTGTTAGGTTTAGTTAGTAAGTGGAGTTTAAGGGTTTGAGTGGTTAGAGATTAGAGAGGGTTTGGGTTAGCTATGAGATGAGAGCATGAGAGAGTGAGAAAGGTGTCTTAAGGGTAATAATGATTAATTTATTATGTTATGAACAAATTATACTAATAATGTTTGTATTGTTTGCTTTTACCTCTGGGAATGCTATCTATTAGAAAGCTTGAGTTTAGGTACCGTTTCTGTGGTGGCAGCAGCTAATAAAGAAGGGTAGTGTCTGGTAGGGTAGTAGATGAACAATATATCACACAGCAATCATAAAGGCATCTAGGAGGCACCCACACAGAATCTAGGATCCATTGTAAGACAGGTGAGTCAGGAGGAGGTCCTTACATTGGTGGCACTGGGCAAGATTAGTGGAAGTCTTCACATTTGGTGGCAAATGCAGGGGTATGGAGAGCCAGTGTGGCATAGTGGTTTGAGTGTTGGACTATGATTCTGGAGACTAGGGTTCAGTCCCCAGCTCAGTCATGAAACCCACTGGGTGATCTTGGGCAAGTCACATGCTCTCAGCCTCAGGGGAAGGCAAAGGCAAACCTCCTCTGAAAAAAATTTGCCATGAAAACTCTATGATAGGGTTGCCACAGGTTGGAAATGACATGGAGACACAACAACAACAACAGCAGAGTCAAACAAAAATCCAGCGAACAGCGATGCCTTTATTGGCCAACCAAAATGCACAATATACTTGTTGCAAGCTTTTGAAGCTCCACTGGCTTCTTCATCAGGCTAGATGTTACAAACCAAACAGGAGAAAAAAAAATAGGAGATGCTAGTCAGATGCCTGCATTTTAATGTTTCTGTCCTTAGTTAAGATGGTAAGGGGAGGGTATCTTTTGCACCTCCTTCTCTCCATGTGGCTATTGGGAGATTTGCAAAGCCCAGGAAATTTAAAGTCCATTTGCATCTCAACAAGGACCCCTCTCTTGCAACCCAATATGCCTCCATTCCTATGCAGTCACAGGCCTCTTTGTAGGCAGAGGACAATGGATTCCTCAAGGAGTCTTCATGTTTTTGCATATAACCTACATAAGGTTCTAATGAAGGGATTAGCGGAGAACCCCATACCCACTTCAGTCTTTTTCAATTCTATGATTCTATCTTGGTCTTTTGAGCAATGGCCTGGACCATCAAAGGTAAACTTCAAGGCTATTAATGGCCACTTAAGTGTTCCTTTAGTCAGTAATTGTTTTCTCCACCCCGGAATAGTGGATGTTCTAGCTGCAGTATGCCTAATGACCATGCTATTGGCATCTTATGGTTCTGCTGGCATAGACTCTCCATTAGTGATCATTCTATGGTGGTAACTCTTAGCTGATTATCTACACAAGATCAACAAGTTGCAGCTAGAGCAGATTCAACTTGTTCTGGCAAAAAAAATTAGAGAGTGATTTTGTGTTGAGCAGAATGTGCAACAACAAAGAAAGTTTAGCGATGCATTGCTACAAGTTGGTACCATATTGGGAGCAATTGAGGGAGGAAATGGCTTCAATTTATTGTCTACATTAAAAAATACTGCAGGTCCCAGGGATACCAAGAGTGTCGTGGAGACATAGCTAATAGGTTTCTTTTTTTATTAGATTATTGTCAATCTCCTGCACCTGCTTCTGAAAAGGGAGGGGTGATGCTGTTAGTTTGCTCACAAAACCCCTTGAGCAGAGAGACATCAACGAGAGTTGCTGCAAGCTGAACTTATTGGCAAAAAGATGATTCCCAAGCACCTCACTTTTTAACAACTTGACATACAAAGTTTGCTGTTGATGCAAGAGATGGTGAAGATGCACTTTCAGAGGAATGAACTTGTAGAACTTTCTGACTCAACCTTAGGAATAACTTCCTGACAGAAATTGCTGTTGAACAGTGGAATACATTGCCTTAGAGCAGTGGCTCCCAAACTTTGGTCTTCCAGATATTTTGAACTTCAGTTCCCAGAAGAACTAGCCAGCTTGGCCAACAATCAAGAAATCTGGGAGCCGAAGTCCAAAACATTTGAAGAATTAATGCAAGGGTAGGCAACCTTTCTCCTTTAAGGGCCGAGGGACTTCAGCTCCCAGAAGCCTCAGCCATGTTGGCCAATAGTCCCATGTTGGCCAATAGCTCCTGGGATTCTGGGAGCTGAAGTCCCTCGGCTCTTAAAGGGGAAAGGTTGCCTACCCCTGGATTAATGTTTGTGAATCACTGCCTTAAAGACTGGTGGGCTCTCATTCACTGATTTTTTTAAGAGGTTGGATGACCATCTGTTAGGGGTGCTTTGCCTGTAGGTTCTTGTATTGGCAGGGGACTGGATAAAATGGCTTGGAAACTGTGGCCCCTTTCATACTATGCAGTGATAGTACCATGGTTTTGCTGTTGTGGGTGCCCTCTTATGGAATCCTGGGATATGTAGTTTGAAGAGGCATGTAGCTCTCTGGATGAGAATCCTAAAATATCCCTCTCTACATTTCAAGCCCCAGGATTTCATAGAATGTTGCTATGACAGAGTGGCATTATATACCTATGTGTAGTGTGAAAGGACTGAAAAGATTCTCTATGATTCTATGGATTTCACTGTTATGGCTCTGAGTGTTTGAGATTTCTCAGGAAAGCAGGAGATCCGATAAGGTTCAAGCAGTGATGAGGGTCTCACCAGTTTCAAAACCCAAAGGAGGAAAAGTACAGCGGCCCCAAGGTATCTGCTAGGGTTTGGTTCCAGCACCCCCTATGGACACCAAAATCTATAGATGCTCAAGTCCCATGATGTAAGTGGCATATTAAAATGGCATACCTTATAATCAAGCTTTGCTTTTTGGAATATATATCTTGTTTGAATATTTTCAAACTGTGGATGGATGAATAAATAATTCATGGATAGGGAGGACCAACTATAGTCACGGGCAACCTTTACAGTTCAGTGTGTATGTGTGTGGACTCATATGGCCCTCTAAATGTTGTTCAAGCAGTGAACCTGATGGTGATGTATGCTAGCAGTCGTGGTCCAACTGGAAGGGCTCCATGATTCTCAATGCTGCTTTAGAGCATTCTGGGACTATTCTTAAACCCATCCCCACTATGGCTGAAATTTGGGGAGGTGTGTAGTGACTGAGAATGTCTTTCTGCAAGTGCTCCCTCATGGTTCTTTTATTCACCTCATCCACTGCTTCTTTGTCATGTTCTGTCTGTTATTGCATTTTTTTTTTTACTGCTAGTTTCTGTTGCTGGCTTGCAGCCCTTCCAATAAGGCATTGTCAATGCAAGGATGTCTCTATTTGAGTTTGCATTTATTTTCATTCACTTCATGTCAGATATTCTTTGACAACCTCCTGCTAAAGCTTTTTCCCAGCATCAAGGATGATAAATGCCTTCAGATTAGCTTCTAGTTGATAATTTATAATGTTAAAAATGGGACTGGCCAAAAAAAAAAATCTGCAAAATGTTTAAGGTGAAGCTTTCTAGTTAAAGGCTAGTCTGAACTGACACTGATGGGAATTTGGCTGAAGTGCTGTCATTTTATATTTGGCAAAAGTGATGATTCACTCCATAATACCAACAGCAGTTCATCATAACAGATGTCACCCTTCCTTCACCTTCTTCTCTTTCCCTCCTTTCTTGAAAACTCATTTTTCAAGCTCTTTGGGACAAACACATACACACACACAGAATTGCCTATCAAGTGTTTCAGTAGCATCTCAACCATGTGTTTTGTTAGAACTATAGTTTCCTCCAATATGGCAGACCAAAGTGGAAAAAAAGACAAGAGAAGATACTGGTATTTTTCAATATCAACTGTGCAGAACACTGTTCTAGTAAATTATTCTATCTAATCTTTCTGTCACATCAAAGGTAAAATGATAAATTCAGGGGGAATATTTATCAGTGATGGTGGTGATGCTTGTGTGCCTGTGTCTGAACTGAGATGTCTCCCAACTCTTTTTGGTCCCTGCAAAATTGTCACTTTTACTGTCTGCCGCAGGAAAGGGTGAAAAAAAAACAAAACCTCACCAAAGAATGGGGAGACATGTTGCGATGGATTTTCCAATTCCACACACCCCAGGGTGTAAATGTGATTAGCGGTAATTGGAGAAGTTCAACAACTGTTAATTTTCGCTCTCTTTGTTGTGTTCTCTCTTTTAAAATATTAACGAAATGTGTATGTAGGCCAGGATGAAACTGAACAAAGGATACATATTTAACCAGAGTGGGGTAGATGTTGATGTGCATGTCTGAAATAAATGTGAAATGTGCTTCCTCTTTTGAAGAGTAAAAACATATATAGATGTCAAACAACTAATAAACACTTGAAGAATACTAGAGATGCACTGCATGATCAGAAGGTTGCTATGATGTGTGTGAGGCTGGGCCACACTACTTCAGAATCCTGTGTTTGAATTTTGCTCGATACAAAGGATTTAATCACACCAGCCTTATAAGGCACCACAACCATGTTAGTCTAGGGACTTTATTACACTGGGGAAATCCTGTGCAGAAACAGGATTTAAAACCTGGAAAAAACCCACAAAAACACACGTCATTGTTAAAGTGTTGTTAACATGAATGGAAAGTAGATACAAGCTACTCCTTTTTACTTTCGGCACACTTTTAACAATGACATTGTGTGAAAATCAACCTGCTTTTGCAGGTTTTTATTGATTTAAAACCCCATTTCTTCATGGGATTTCCCTAGTGATAAACTCCTAGGAAAGGCAAACACAATGTGTTGGGGATAGTGGGTGCATAGCCCCACCTTTCTTCCCTATTCCCTTCCCAGCATGCCTTTTGGTCTGTATTTATTTTTATTTTTAGCACAACTGTGCAATCATGACAATCCATTTAGTAAAAATAAATAAATAGCATAGAAAAAGTGCCTGTTTGGGAATAGCCACAGGGAGGAGAGACGGAGAGAGAGGAAGAGATTCATGCTCGCTTGCTCGTATATAAGAATTGTTTCCATCAACAGTGGAAAAACAGCACATTTGGCAGGCATTGTTGGGTTTTGCTGATCAATGAGAAAGAGTCATCCAGCAATGGATGGACTACAGACCAGCCACTGGACGTTATCACACGGGGCCTAAAGCAGTCCCATCCCTGTCCCATTGCGGTTCCTTTTCAATCCAGAACTTACTGGCATACAGAAAGCAGCATAATTCCGGTATCATTCTGGTCGCAGCAAAATGTAATTCCCAAAGAAACCGGCATTCAAAAGAATGTGGATGATGCCGGATGATGCCGCAATGGGATGGGGATGGGATGGGGATGGGTGCAACATTGTGTGAAGACACAGGGAAAGGAAGCGCAATGGGACGGGGATGCGACGGGGATGGGCAGGGTTTCTCTGCGACGTCGTGTGAACACAGGGGAAAAGGAAGTGCAATGGGACGGGGATGGGACTGCTTTAGACCCCGTGTGATAACATCCACTGGATAGACAAAGTATTGTATGATAAGGTATGGCCACGGAGTCCAAAGGTTGCTATATTGGTATAGCTAATATAGTGG